GGAGGGAGGGAGGGAGGAATCTCGCGGGCGCGCATTGATGTGTACCGGCGATTCTCCGTGCTACCTATTTTGCGACACCTGTTCCAATCAAGTCAGAAGCGGGTCGCGAGATGACGCGAGACGAATGACGCTTCGCTTTGCGCTTTGATTAGAGATCGATTATGCGAATCGATCGCGAACCGATCTCTAAACTGAAATCACAAAGAGCGACGTTCTCGACGATCTTAAATGTTTCACAAAATTATTGTTATCGTTTTTATTTACATAAAACACGCTCGGAAATTGTTTTTTTTCGAAATCTCACATTACCCGCGTATCCGCATCAAAGTCTTAACTCGTTAATGAACTTGTAGTCCCGCTCGGATGTTTCATTAAACAAATTGACTTTGAACACATTTTATTTCGCGCGATGATGCGGACTTCCACCATGCACGGATATTCAATCGGATATTATCAGATCGAACCGAACGTTGACATAAGGCGAGCACACATCGAGAGACAGAGAGAGTGCTGACTACCCACTTTACGACCACCTGTTTCCGATAAAGCAGCGCTCTTGCACGGGCGCTCTTTCGAATCGTGAAAAACGCGATCGTTAAAGAGCCCGACGAAAAGACCGATCGTTTCGACGTATCGCTACGGAGCTGTTAAAACCGGCGTAGACGAACTCCTTATTCGGGAGGCGGTCGTTCGGTTTTGCAGACTGACTCGGCCCGTTTCTTCCATAAAATCTGGCGACAAAATGAGAAACGTGCCTCATTTTACAACCTCGGTTTTATAGCAACTAAAGGAGTCACGTCACGTCGACTAGAAAAGAGTTTTATCTTATCTGCCGAACAAGAGAAGTTGAAACACTCGCGTCGGGAGAAAAGGACCAAGCGACCAGAAAGTCTGACGGACCCAAAATTTGAAGGTCGCTGTGAGAAATAAGATCGAAAATCGCGGACAGAAATTCCGTCGGAATCGCGACGGATTGTGCTACAATCGCCAGTAGCGTTGCTTTGTTTGGATCATCGGAATCTTGTACGTAGCGTGCATAGAAAGTATAACACGGTCGCGATGATTGATACGCGCGTCCATAGAAAGCACAACGGGACAATGGGGCAGATCGTGTTGGAAATCAGCATCGTGAGTGCGCGAAGAAGCAGTCAATCGGTCGATACACACCGGTAGTTTGCTCTCTCTCTCTCTCTCTCTTTCTCTCTCGCTTTCTCTCTTTCTCTTTGCGCGAGAGGTCCGACGCGAACACGAAACAAGACGCGCGGCCGTTGTTGAACAGCAGTTTCGCAGCACGCGGAAGACGCGATAACGCGAAGGTAACAAGCGTCTTCGTTAGGGGGATCGGGCGCGATCGGTAAACCGCTCGTCAGAGAATCGCGCGAGTTTTTCCCCAGTTTCGACTTTTGATTCTAAAAAAAAAAAAAAAAAGTTAATTATTCCAAAAATTCTTGCTCAATTAACAGCGCGCTGATAATTGAGAACGAAACAACAACACGGCGAATTATTATTGATTTCGTCATCGCGGATATTCGCGGATCGAAGTATCTTGTGCTTTTCGAGGCCCGGCATTCTTGTCGAAAGAATGCGCGATTCTCGAGTGCCGGTCGGGAAGACACGGGCGAGGAGGAGAGATCGGAGCGGGCAGCCGAACGAAGGCGAAAGATACGAATGCGAGGAGGAGGAAGAGCCCCAGAAGGAGGAGGAGGAGGAGGACCGTCGTCGTCGCCGAGGTCGCATAAATCGTCGTGAGTCGGATTCCGGGCAGCCGAACGCAAGCCGCCATTGTCCGAGACTTTTTGCCCCTCTCTCCCTACCACGGGGGCTGCCGCTTGCACTCTTTGCATATGCTTTAAATATCGCCGCTCCGCGCGCTTCGCTTTGAGAACACATTTCCAGCACCCCCCGTTCTCTCTCTTCTCTCCTCTCCCCGCTGCTCTGCGCGAAGAAAAGACAGCGAACGCGGCGCGGGAGGGTGAGAGTAGAAGGAATGAGAGATGAGGAACGTCGGAAGAGAAAGAGAGAGAGAGAGAGAGAGACCCGAAGTTCGCTGACTGTTCGACTCTTCTCTCGCCGCAATTGGCGGATCGCA